GTGTGTGTGTGTGTGTGTGTGTGTGTGTGTGTGTGTGTGTGTGTGTGTGTGTGTGTGTGTGTGTGTGTGTGTGAGTGTGTGTGTGCGTGCGTGTGTGTGCGTGCGTACGTGGGTGCGTGCGTACGTGGGTGTGCGCGTGTGTGCGCGCGCGTGCGTGCGTGCGTGTGTGTGTGTGTTTGTATGCGTGTGTGTGTGCGCGCGTGCGTGTGTGTGTGCATCAATGAATATGCGCCCGAGAGAGGGTGGTGTGCATGTTGAAGTGATTAGTATGAGTAACACTGTAACAGTAGCAGATATTGCAAAAAACGACGCCACTGCTTAACCGCTTTCGTCGAGCGGTGATAGCTGTTAACATATTGACACAATTCCTTCAAATGAGACGCAGATATTTTCAATGTCGTACATGTTAGACCTTGTTTTTTGTGTTTTATTTTTTTCACGGTTGAATAATGTGCTTATTGCATCATGCGTAGACGTACTCTGGCCTGTTCTGCGTCGTGATCAATCCGTATAAAAGACTCCCGATCTACATCCCTGACGTTGTGGCAGAATATAAGGGCAAGAGAAGAACGGATATGCCTCCTCATTTGTTCTCTGTCTCGGACAATGCCTACACCGACATGTTATGGAGTAAGTGTATATTGTGTGCAGAGTTAATTTATAACGTTAACTCTTAACCTTACATAACGCAATATAACGTTGACAACTGAACAGCACAATAAACCCTTATTATTCTCACGCAAGAAACACTGTGGCTGCATCACGCATTAGTTTCTACTTAAATTACGTTAGGGTACTTAAAGCGAACTGCGTAAATAAACTGTGGCAAAATTTGATTACGTTATAGGCCTAGTTAGTCTTGGATGCCTAAGCGCCTAGCTAACCTTACAATAAACACGAGTATACATTTGACTGACGACAGATGTCTAGTGAGGTTCTCTCGAAACATACGGACTTCAGCCATTTAATTATTATAATGTTCTTGTACTAAAAGCTGCGATAATTAACCGGGAAACAGCTTCAGGTGGTCCGCTAATCATGTGAAATATAGAGTTCAATCTTAGTTCGCATTACAATGCCCCAGATATTTCATTGTTTACGTTTTGTGCAATCATCCAACTTTGGCATCCATATAAACGTATTTACTCAATTTTTCCGAGGTTCCTGAAATTGGTCTAACGCCGATAATTGTTCCATTGCGGTAACTGCATGGTGCCTCCGAAAACGTGTAGGTTCTTTATTTATTTGGCATCCGCGCAATATTTTTGTGCGGTAACGCGGCCACGTAGGCGAGGGAATAATTTTTGGAATGGCGTTAACGATCTAGTCTGGCAGCGGCGGTGGAATTCTCCGTAAGAATATCGAATTTCTGCCGGGTGACTAGATTAGATACAAGCACACGCCGCTCATTATATACCTGACAACTTGCAAAAACAAAGAAGTACAGCTTCATCTGTGCGCGCTTTCTCATAGAGCACACGCCGAAGGGAGTCTAAATATCAAGACAAACATTTGTCTGGCCACGCTTGTGGTAAGTGTTCGGTCCCTTTTTGGCGCAAATCCGGCTAAGAGTTGATGTGAGATCGTTTTTAGAAGTATTTCGGTGGGTAATAGGAAACACGTGCCATCGTCATCACGTTAGCGGTTAATGCGCAAGAGAGATTTCGTGTCAGCCTTCCCAAAGATGGCATGTTAAACGCGCGCGTTGATAGAGTACCGGATACTTTTCACGGCGCTGAAATCAGTGAACGAATCTGTAGTACATCCTACACTTCTTAACATAGCATGCAGACGGTGATGATTTCTGCACCAAAGTCCCCACAAATCGCTGCGAAGTGAACGGTTCGCTGAAATAATTAGTACTCCATAAATAGTAAAGCTCATTGAGCGTGTTTAATTTCGTATTAAAACTCACTCATATCTCACTTTAGCCATTTAATTATTATATAATATTCTTGTACTGAGAGCGGTGATAATTAAGCCTATATTTAACGTGATTTCATGAATAGTGGCACAATAAATTAGTCTTTATTATGTCACCCCTGATCTCGTGCTGCTGTGAGTCTAACGACGCGCGACCACTAAGTAAGTGCAACATGTTCTGCTTGCATATATGACAAATACGACATACTCATATACGCTCTACTATGACACTATTTGTCATATGAAGATTCTTCCTATGACAAATATTGGCGAGTCAACTTCGTTCCGCTTTACAGCTGAAATTCACTGCTTGCGTTCATAATAGCGCTCCTAAACTCCTATGATGCACACAACACATACAACAATATTTGTCATAGAAAAAATCGTCCTATGACAAAATTTAATAGTGTCATAGGAGAGCGTATATGCGTATGTCGTATTTGTCACATAGATGCTAGGAGAACAGGCTGAACGTTAGCGTGAGTAAAGTAGCTGCGTAAGTAAGTAAGTAAATTCACGTGTCGTCGTTCTACGTGCACAGATCGCGAGAACCAGTCGTTACTGATTACTGGCGAGTCCGGAGCCGGAAAGACGGAAAACACTAAGAAGGTCATCGCCTACTTTGCCAACATCGCAGCGGGAGGTATGCAGAGCTTCGGACCGAAGGGAGTAAGTAATAATTACGTTAATTACATCGGCCCGATTTCGTTTCACTTTGAGCGGAAATTCATCGGGTTTTCAACACGAGACTAATTCCATTTCACGGGGGGGGGGGCAAAATGACGTGAAACCGAAAAGGTATTAATTAATACAGCACGTTGAGATCAAATGTGCAGAGGCAAATGAAATGGTTAAAGCAGTGTCGCATTTGCCTGCGTCCTGCTTGCTACTCGTACAACATAGAAAAATAGATATCAAAATAGTAAGGTAAGTTACTAATTATATAATTAATCTAACACAGCCGTAATCGCATTAGGCTACATCACGCCGACATGATATATGAATATTCATGTCACATATGCATTATACACATATGTTGTACTGGGAAAAGTTGTTGATCTCCGCTCCGGCATCGTAGAATCGTAGAGTTGTAAGGTTGTGGATCTCCGCTCCGGCATCGTAGCAGCGTCGAGTTAGCAAATCGTAGCAGATTGTAGCAAAGAGTAAAGACGATGTAGTCGCAGAATTTGCTCTTGAAGACTGACTTTATTAGTAAAACACAATACAAAATATATACATACGGCAACCTAGGTGACCTTGCCTAGGTCCCGTCATCTCTGTTTTCGTCTATCTGCACTACATCGTCTCTCGTCTCTTCCTCTGGGTAATAACTTCCTTATGATCTTTCGTCCGTGCCTATTTATACGTTTCCGAAAACCGCCCGGCGACTTTTTCAATCCGACCGGTTTTTCGTTATTATCGGCCGGACCTTGGCTCGTAGGTGTGGCGCGTCGCGTCACCCATCCCCGGCGCAAGGTGTGACGTGCCAAGCGTCGCATCCCGTCGCGACCGTTTGCTGAATACAATACATACAAGGCGGCGGAACCTCAAAGCGATTGACAATCGCTGCACCCTCTATCGGCGAATTCACCGACGCTATGTTGTAAATAAATCTTTCGCTGTTTTCTACAGACGTCAGATGTGTAGGGTGTGGTTGAGGGTTTGGTTAAAACGCGTAGGTGTTGATGGTTGACTCGGCAATAAATGAGATTATATCCATCTTTAGTTATCACGGTCACTTCATTGCGCACAACGTGCATCACGTAAATACCTATAACCATAATCATATAATCATAATACCTATGATTAGCTATTTATTATTAATTAAAAGCTATTGTTACCTCTTAATTACATCAGTTCGTATGAAAGTGAAGTATGAGTCCGCCACTTTCCTAGTTCAGCCACGTCAGGAAATCTCTGTACTCGAATTATTTTGCGTTCAGCGATTTTTATTTTTCGCGCGATTCCCACTTCGCACGAGCCACCCTCGCATGTTATAGACGACCGGGGATGATCTTAGCTGGCTGATATATATATATATATATATATATATGATATATATATAGCTAGTGATGATAATGCGTTAGTCCATATCTAGCGTGTTTTCATTTTTTTCATTTTTTTCCCTCTAGACTAACATATATGGTCATGACTCCAAGCGTTGTTGAAAAGCAAGGTTAGGGTCAGCTAAGGGGTGGGGGCAGTCTATATATCACCCCCACGAAAACAACATATTCTATAAACACAGAACCTCCTCCCCCATATTCGATGTACGTTCGCCCTATCAACGCCTAGCAACGGCAATCGAGTAGCAGCGCCATCATCGATGATTCGGCATAGTTTACTATATTCGGCATCAGATGGCTGCTTCGTGCATCCCCCCACCATCAGAGGAATCCGATCATGATTCCATCAGCCACCTTATGCTCATCCTCCTCCTCCTCCTCCTCCTCCGCATCCCCCCCGCTTCGCTCGCGCGCAGCATCTGCCTAGCTCGCGCGCACATCCGCCGCTGTGTTGACACAGCCAGTCAAGCGTTAATCGCGTGACGTTTACTAGATCTTACCAAGAGGAGGGGGAGAGGTAATGTACCCGTGTGAATGGCTCGCGGCCGTCAGGGCACGATAGCGCAGCGCTACACAACGTACACGCGGGATCGCATGGACGCACACTCACGCATATCACCCCTGCTGTAACCAACATCGGTATCATGTTTTACAGAATCGCTCGTAACGACAGGCCTTATATTAATCATCATTACATCGTCATCATCATCATCATCATCATCATCATCATCATCTTCATCATCATCATCATCATTATCACCATCATCATCATCATCATCATCATCATCATAGTGATAATAATAATAATAATAATAATAATAATAATAACTAGAGCACTCGGAGAGCGCAGACCTCCGCCAAGGCAGCTGAATTCTCTCAATGTGAAAAATTGTATTAATTAATTAATTAATTAAATAATTGATTGGATCCGGATGACCAGTTACCCCATTTCTGACCTATCCTGCAAATTTTGTTAATTAATTAATTAATTAATTGGATCCGAATCACCACCAAAATGTAATCAATTCTAAGTTAGCCCATTTCTGACCTATCCTGAAAATGTTATGACAATCCGTCCATAACTTTTTTAGTTATGTAACTTTTTTAGGCTGTACACAAAGAACGGTGTTACAAACCTACAAACGCACAAACCCACAAACGAACAAACACACAAAAGGCCGCCGCACACCAGCCGATTTTTACAAA